TCAAACGGACAGTCGTGGCCGTCGAGCGGGAGTCTCACCACTGGAACCACTCCTCGCGCAGACATCTTCCTCGTCGGTGTCGTCGTCTTGAATGCTGTGGTCGTCGGCGGCGAACCACCACTTCTTCGAGAGAGACGATTGATGGGATCAACTGGCGATTCAAAGAGTGGCACCGATTAGTGTAGCACTCATTCAATGGATTTGTTGTGCTTTTGATTGCAATTCATTCAAACATTTAATTGTTTTGTTGTTTTGATTTTGTATTCATTTTAAGCGTTCATTCAATCAATAAAAACAACACAAAAAAATACTCTCCGAAAGTGTAAACAAAAATACTGTCCATTAATAACGGCATGAATTCGGGGGAGAATTGGGTTTACTTTTGAAATTACAATTCATTTTTGTGTCTATTTTTATACATTTGGGTTACGATTAATATATCGTTTAATTGCTATTAATTTGTCAGTTAATGACAGTTAACGAGAAATGCAATTAAAATCTACTGTTTTTTGTTTTAATTATTTGTTTTAACGCTAAGTCAAGTGTATGTCAATCATAACGAGACTCGTGTCTAACCTTCACTCGTCTGGACAGTCGTTGTTTATAGAGTCGATTCTCACCTCCGAAGCAACGCCTGCGATATGACACAACACTTTCCTGCATAACAACACAAGCCATACATAAATAACAGTCTATCAGCGATACAGTGAAGCAAATACAACAAATCACAGCATTCGGTGGGAATCGCAACTGAAATATACGCTCATAAAGTGAGTGGGGATTGAATGTGGAGTTTAGCCAACGATTGCATAACAAGTCATAATTGATGTGTATTTTAGTGATAAAGTTATAACACGATTGACAACAACATTGAAATACAGCGCTCTATGACTGATGTGTTTCTGTATTAACTAATATGAGTTTAGCCAACGATTGCATAACAAGTCATAATTGATGTGTATTTTAGTGATAAAGTTATAACACGATTGACAACAACATTGAAATACAGCGCTCTATGACTGATGTGTTTCTGTATTAACTAATAGTGCCATCAATTCATACATTTTGTCATTAATTAAAAGTATTTATTAATTTAGTTGTAATTGTTTTTAATTAGTTTTGTTTTCTCGCAGTTAAAGCAGTGTTTCATATATTGTGTTCACATTATATACAAACCACTCGTTGAGTGAATGCAAAGCTTTACTCAACACATCTCTTCCACAACTCGTACCGCATATTCACCACTCATTTGTCATTCAATTAATTATATGATTAAAACGGATAACAATTTAATAATACAATTATATTCAAGTCTAATAGAAATCTCATCAATAGTTAGCTTTTATGACACGTTTTTATTATTTTAAAATTAGGCATAAATTATTGGGTTTTCAATCCATTCGCTAAATCATCACTTTTTTGTCCGCAATTTATTTAATAATAATTTTTTTAAAAATAATTGATTTGCAAAACAAAAGCATCGCTTGTTTTGCTTGTGTTGTGTCCACACTATTGGGCGGCTAATCGTGCGATCAGTCAATCGGCGGATCAGTTGCGGCGATGAGGCGGTGGTTATCGCGGTGTCACCACTATTTGGTGGCTCTGAGGCCGTGGTCTTTCTCGGCATCGCTAACACCCGTACTGTTGGGCTCTGTTCTGGCCTACAAGACGTCGGACGCCTTCTCGTTGGTCACACTATTGGCCACTTTGTTGACTGTGGTGTCGGTTCACGCGGCGGGCAATTTGGTCAACACGTACTGCGATTTCATGAAAGGCATCGACTCTAAGCGCCGGTCCGACGACAGGACTTTAGTCGACTCCATACTGACCCCCGAGGAAGTGGTCAACTTAGGTATGACTCGGCGATAGTGAGTGATTGCTGTGATCTCATGGATGTGTTGTCTTCGGCCCAAAACAGGTGTCATATTCTACATAATCGGTTGCATAGGCTTTGTTGTGGTAGTGTTCGTAAGTCCGGCCCGAATGGAACTGTTGGCTCTCGTCTACTTCGGAGGCATCTCTTCCTCGTTTCTATACACCGGAGGAATTGGTCTCAAATACATAGCGTTGGGCGACGTTATCATAATCGTCACCTTCGGGCCGATGTCTGTCCTCTACTCTTTCATCGCGCAAACCGGTAATGCATTCAATAGCGCACAATGTCTTAGCGGACAAACCATTTACCGGTGATGTCATTATCATGTGTTACCATAGGAACCATAGATCTAATCACATTGATGTACGCCATTCCTCTGGCGCTGAACACGGAAGCGATTCTCCACTCGAACAACACCCGTGACATCGACTCGGATCGTAGGGCCGGTTGTGTGACTCTGGCTGTACTTATAGGACAGTCCGCGTCTCACGTGCTCTTCGCTCTCCTTCTATTCATACCATACATCTTGTTTTGTGTCCTCAGTATTCGGTACTCTCTGTGGCTGTTATTGCCGTTAATAACCATCAGAAAGGCTTTCGAGTTGGAGAAGCAGTTCCGGAGCGGAAATCTGCGGCATTTGCCGCGACTGATGGCCAAACTGAACCTGTATTTCGGTATTTTCTATTTGATCGCCTGTTGTCTCTCCAGTCCTAAACAGTTGCCGGGAATTAATCGTGTAATCAATTGAT